TGCAGCTGAGTAAAAGACACCCATATCCTCTTCGAGGATTTAAACTACTACCAACCAGTATGCATGGTGTATGCGGCGCAAGCTCTAAGGTGCCATGAACATGACAGTATCTTTCTGACCAGCAGTGAGATTACAACCCATGAAGAGCTCTGTCTTTTTTGCAGCAGACACCATTTGCGTATACATGACTGCCATGTTATAATCGATCTGTTGTTCATCTTGGAAACCATGTTCAACATCATTAAAGTTCAAATCAACCTTTCGTGGTGGAAAATGAGAAATGTCACGTTCTGCATCAAAAAAGGGTTGATTCATATATAAGGCGGGGATCTCCATTCCTTCAGGGATGTCCCATGGCCAGTAAGGTAAAGTAAAAGTGTCATCTCCAATGAGACTTCCAAGGATACGTTCATGGAAGTAAAGCATCATACGATGCCAAGGAAAGAAGAGCCAAGATCCATGGACCTGAAAAGGGAAATGAGAGAGTGGTTGGTTGTAGGCTCCAGTACAAAAAAGACAGTGTAAGTTTGCTTGACGCATCCAATTTCGAGGGTCGTCATAAGGCAAAGACTTCATGATGGAGATTGCTTTTTTGTATTTTGCAACGTAAGTCTCATCTTTTTCAATGATATGGATTGGACGTCGAACTCTTACAGGTCGTGAAGGGTCTGGAAATTGAAAATCAATGAAAGGTTGTGGAGTTTGGTAGTTGGGCGGGCAGCAATTCACAAGCAAGTCTTTGCGACCATAAGATGGGTGGCATGACGTTAGGTTTGGACTTATAGCCATTTTCTCTTCATTCTTTAACTCTGCAATCTTATTACCTGTATTTTTTGTACGCCAGTCTCCTTCTTGCAACAAAGTTAGTAGCATGCTCTTTAATTGCCTAAATATATGAGAGATTAAATAACATTAGACATAATATTAATTATAATTATTTTTTAAATGTTAATAATTTAAAAAATAATTATAATTAATAATAATTTAATATATTTAAAATAAGCGGGATGACCGAGTAATTATCAATACTTTAAAGTGCATAGATGGATTGTCTAATAATTACTTAATATCTTATGAGCTAACGTGTATATGATCATAAATAAAATACACTTTTTATTTTAAATTAATGATATTGAATATTAAAAAAAAAAAAAAAAGAGTATAAGATTCTTTCAAAGTACAACCAAATTTGCAGATTTTATAAATATGACTTTTATATCTTAAATTGTATTTTTATAAATTTTAATAAATATTTGAAATACACAAATCATATTTATAATATCTTACAATTTATTTAGGTTTTTGAAAAACATAATTAATCGTAATATTTATTATTAATATATAAATGAGGGTTTTATGTAATTATTGCTAAAATAATAGGCCTAACATAAAAAAGAAACCTTATAGGTTTGTGTTTATGTCAAATACTTGTAAATATATACTTTAAACTACATATAAAACTTGTGGTAATATTAATTTCATTAAGTTTAACAGCAATTATATCTTTAATTTTTCTCTTGACTTCTTTTTTCTTTTCTCTCAGTTGATCATGTCTCCCTCAATTTTATTTTATTTTTTTCTCCTCCTTGGTGGTACTAACAGCAACTTCTCTTATGAAGAAAGTAGATTTAGAAGGGAGAAGACTGGTAATTAGAAAAACATTTATAATTGTTATATATGTAATATATTATTGCAATTAGAAAAAAATATAAAAATTTGACATGGGGTATTGTCTGTTTAATATAACTATTGCAATATAAATTTTTTTAAATATAGATAGTATACAAATATATATATATATATATATAGACAAGTGGAGAGCAAACACAAAAAATGAGCGAGTATTGTGATAAATAAAAAATGAAGTGACGTTTCAGTACTTGTACGTTTATATTTAAAAATAACTAAAAAGAAAGAAGAAGAAGAAGAAGAAGAAGGTAGGAAAAGCTGGTGGTTATTTACTGTATATAGAGACAAGTGGAAAGCAAAACAAAAATGGTTAACTGCTGGCATCAATAAAGATGACTCGACGGATTCAGTAATGGTACATACTAAACTTTTCAGCAATATTTGAAATAGAAACAAGTACGAAGGCATCTGGTTATTACCTCATAAATGGTGGTTGAAGATGATTAGAGTGGCGAAAATAAAGAGAAGATGGCAAATATATGATCAAAGTGAAGGCAACAGCAGCCGCCATGACCGCCCATTTCCCGCCGCCCATGACCCTCGATATATATATATATATATAACAAAAAAATGCAACCTCTCCGGCCTCCTGCACTTTTAACATTTCGGTCACAGAAGAGAAAAAAGAAGAACAGAAGAAATAGATGTTGAATTGGTTAATGCCTTCAACTAAGGGACATTAAAAAATACCTTAAGAATTTCTCTTTAAATATGCCGATGCATGCACGTTACTTTTTAGAGAAAACCTGAAGAGTACGCCATTGGCAAATCTTATCAGCTTAAATAACCTCCCGACACCGCGGGCATTGATATTAATGCCCAACAACCCCGCTGCGTTTTTTTGGCAAATTACCATTATTTCCTTGTTTGGTAGCGCTTCTGGGTTACTGTGTATTTAAATAAAATTTAAAATTTAAAATCAATGAATGGAAGGATGTAATTAAACATGATAAATACTTTACACAGAGTGAAGTTAATAAAAAGGCAGTGGGATCACTTCTTTTCGCTGTCGTGCAGGTGTTGATTAAAGTTAATTTTGTCCTAACCGAACGAAAAAGGAGATTGGTTCTAGAGAAGCCAACTTGTTGGCAACTTTGCAAGTGGTACGAATAATAGGAGCGTGGCAGGTTGATGGCATTGAATTTGGGGTCAGGAGGTAGCAGTTTTGGGTGGTGGAGAAACAATACACGAACGGTCTAAATGCAAATCTTAGCCCATAAAACAACATACATTGTACTAAAGTCAAAAGAGTGCTGGTAAAAGATTAAAGATCCAGACGCCGTACAAAAGTTATTTTTGTAACCTCTTAATTTTTTATTTTTTTTTCTTTTTTTTGCAATTGGACATCAAGAATACAAATGATCAAAACGACGCCGTTTTGATGAAGAAAAAAAAACCCAAGAGGGCAACAAGAAGAGACGTACACGCCTCCTCTGGCAAGCAAGCGAAGAAGATGAAGAAGAAACCAGGACCTGCACGTCAAAGGAGAATGCAGAAGAGGCGTGCAGGGCTCTCAGTTCTCCCGCCTTTGGATTTACCAGCATTTCTTTGACTTAGTTTCTTTTTCTTTTTTTAAGCATTAAATGTTAATTTTATTTTTCTGTTTTTTTATATTATTTTATTTAATTTTATGGTTATCGACAACACTTTCCTCCTTGCAACTTTTTGTTTTTTTGACAATTTTATTTTCTCTACTTTAGTTATAATTTATGTGTTTATTGAGTTATTTTATTATGTTATATTATGTTAGCATGATGCAAGAATTATCTATAATGAATATTTTACGCTAAAATTCATTTCAATATTATACGACTTGAACTTAGTAATAAAAAAAAGTAGACTACGAACATTGTACTAAAATATATATATATTTTCTCATTATCATCTTTACAAAGCTTTAAAATTTGAATACATTTATAAAAGATTCACTTTAACACTGAAAAAAATTGAAAAAATAAATAATTATGATAGAATGTACAAGTCTATAGTGTTTCATATAAGCTCTCAAAAGGAAAATTGTAACGACCCCGGAATTATTAAAATGAAATGAGTATTTAAATATATCAAATGCGGAAGCGAGATCAAAATTTCAGTTAACATCCCTTACACGAAAAACCAAAAACGTACTTAAAATATAAAAGATTAAACTAAGAGAGAAAACTCGAAAATAAAACTATGAGTATGACTACAGAGTCTCTAGGCATCCCCTTCGTCGTCCTCCTGCGGAACGGGCTCGGGAACCATGTCTTCCTGATCTGAAATGGTTAAATAAGGAGTGAGCTACACTAGCCCAGCAAGAACATCACGATATCTCACCGTCACGGAGGTAAAGGTGGGTAGAAAAACACAAAAAGACCAATGGAGCATAATTTATAACAAACTCGTTTATTAACATGAAAACCTTTACCATCCACTTATCTCGGTGGAATTTATGAAAACAATATAAGAAAAACAATAACATTATCATAATCATGGAATAATATAAGCTGTAAAACATAACACTTATCACGCCTCTTGTAATTCAATCATTGTACAACATATCTTTTTCTCATTTACCAGCCTACTAGTATCCGTGGGGGTCCGTAGGGGTTCCGCTACCCGTTAACCTTTAACATTCATAATCAGTTTCCAGGGCCGTCCCCATACCCCGTCCGGTATGGGCGCCAAAACCATGAACCTCAATACCCCGTCCGGTATGAGGGTGAAACGGGCCGTCCCCATACCCCGTCCGGTATGGGCGCCAAAACCATAAACCTCAATACCCCGTCCGGTATGAGGGTGAAACGGGCCATCCCCATACCCCGTCCGGTATGGGCGCCAAAACCATAAGATCTCCATACCCCGTCCGACATGTGAGACCACAATCCTGGTAGGGTTCCCTACGGACCCGGTCCGTCCACCATCTCCAAGGATATCTAGTCAGGCTGACCCCTATAATACAATTATCAGTCTACACAATCTTTCATTTTCCTTTTCCTCAGTCAGCATCATCAATTCACATACAAACAAACAAAACAGTAATTCATGCCAAACAGACAACATACAGTATCAATTTTTCAGTCATTCAACCCATGATTAATAAAACGTAGTATATGCACACAAATCTGTAAAATGAACACATCAAACCTCATTTTGCATTTAAAGCTGTAAAAAGGCCAAATAACAGTAAATCACCAATCACACTAGACTCGGGCTCCATTAGCCACCTTAAGCAATTTCACACATTCGTTGATTCATGAAATACCGTTTTATCATTTATTGAACTTTAAAACCGTGATAGGAAATAGGGTGAGGGGTCCTTACTTGTTTTCGGGATCCGAATACGATTCACAGTGCGCCTGCAGGCCGTCCCTAATTTTTCCTGAATTTTTTCCCGGAGAACTGAAACACACTAACAGTACCTGCACGTGTTCCAAAAAAAACCCAAATTAGGCCCAGGGCCTCTTTCGGCCCAAATCGCAACTCCGGCACGGCAGCTCCGCCGTGCTCCGGCGACGGCGCCGCCGCTGGCGGCGGCGAGTCGCCTCGGGTTGGCTGTTTTTGGCCGAATTCGGCCACACTCGCATCGGTCCTTGTGAGAAAACAACCCTAGGGCCCTCGGGGGGCCAAAAAATCACGGAAAAATGGAGCTTACCGGCGGCGGCGCTCTCGGGTGCGGCGGCTCTCTGGCGAGGTTCGTGTTTTGGTGATTCGGCTCCGGTCAACCTGTAGAGAAAAGAATGGTGATCACGGTGATATAAAAATTGCATCGAACGGAGGCCGGGAAGGGCCTCGTCGGAGGCAAAAACCGAGAGGGGCGCGGCGGCGCCGCTGGGCTTCGGCCGCGTATTCCGGCCGTTTGGCCGGGATTTCGGCCTCGATTTGGCCATAGGAGGAATCAGCGTGGAAAAACGAGTCGGGGGTATGAAATTTACCTCAATCGGCGGTCGGAAATTTCCCCGGTGCGGCGGCGGGTGGCGGCGGTCGGCCTCTGGTTCGTCTTCTCCGGCAAGCGGCGGGCGGCTAGGGTTTGTGGTCTGGTGTGGGGGTTCTATTTATAACCCCTTGCCTTTTGATCTCAGCCGTCCATTTCGTTTTAATCTGGGCCGTTCGTTTTTGATTGAATCTGGGCCGTTCGTGCGATTGAATCTGAGCCGTCCGATCGCGCGATTGATCTGGGCCGTCGGATCGCACCCACGCGGATCGCCAACGTGGCTCCTTTTGGAGTGACGTGGTCTTGCCGCGTGGCAGGCCCCGGTTGGCCGGGCCTGCTGACGTGGCTGCTGAAGTGGCCCCCTTTTTTTTTTTTTTTTTTTTCCTCCTCCTTTCCGGGTGCTACAACTCTCCCCCCCATAAAGAAATTTGGTCCCCAAATTTGCCTCATTACTCTTGATCAAACAGATGAGGATATACGGCCCTAAATTCTGATTCCAGCTCCCAAGTCGCCTCCCTAGGCGTGTGGTTCTGCCACAAGACTTTTACAAATGATATTTCTCGGTTACGGAGTATTCTGCTTTCTCGGTCCGTGATACTGACCGGTACTTCTTCATAAGACAAGTCCTCTCGGAGTGAAAGCGGTTCATGAGCCACGACATGAGAAGGGTCCGGATTGTACTTGCGCAGCATAGATACATGAAACACATTGTGAACCCGGGAGAGCTCAGGGGGCAGTGCAAGTCTGTAGGCAGTGGTACCAATCTTGTCTAAGATTTCAAAGGGTCCAATGTATCTGGGGTTTAATTTTTCCCTCCTGCCGAACCTACTAATCCCCTTGAAGGGGGTGACTTTAAGAAACACCCGGTCACCTTTCTCAAAGGCCAGGTGTCTCCTCCGGGTATCAGCATAGCTCTTTTGCCTACTCTGAGCTGTCTGGATGTTCTTCTTGATCTTAACTATCTTGGACGTGGTTTCTTCCACCAAATCCGGGCCAAACAATCTTCTATCGCCCACTTCCTCCCAACAAATCGGTGACCTGCACGGACGCCCGTATAGCGCCTCGTATGGGGCCATTCTGATGCTTGCTTGGTAACTGTTGTTGTAGGCAAACTCTATCAGGGGTAGATGGTCGTCCCAATGGCCTCCGGAGTCAAAGACACAAGCTCGGAGCATATCCTCCAGCGTACGGATTGTCCTCTCTGATTGTCCATCGGTTTGGGGTGGAAGGCAGTACTAAGGGACAGCTTTGTTCCCATAGCTTGCTGGAAACTATTCCAAAACCGAGAAGTGAATCTGGGATCCCTGTCGGATACCACTGTTACTGGGACCCCATGCAGTCTGACTATTTCCCGGACATACATTCTTGCCAACTTGTCCAACGAATCAGTCATTCTGATGGCCAGGAAGTGGGAAGACTTAGTGAGTCGGTCAATAATTACCCATATGGCATCGTGTCCCGATCGTGCCTTGGGTAGTCCCGATACGAAGTCCATGGTGATGTGTTCCCACTTCCATTCTGGAATCGGTAAAGGCTGAAGCAACCCCCCTGGGCGTTGATGTTCTGCTTTGACCTGCTGACATACCAAGCACTTAGATACAAAGTCGGCTATATCTCTCTTCATCCCATTCCACCAGAATCGGGGTCGCATAGTTTGGTACATTTTTGTACTTCCTGGATGCATGGCAAACCTTGAACTATGGGACTCTGTCATGATGTCTCTTTTTAATTCATTGTCGTCTGGGACACACATTCTGTCCTTGAAACGAATCAATCCGTCGGCAGAGATCTGAAATTCTGAGTTCACTCCCTGTTCTGCATCCTTCTTGCGGTTTACTAGGGCGGGGTCGATTGACTGGGCTTCCTTTATTCTTTGGATTAACTCGGGTTGGACTGCTAGGTGGCTCAAACATGTGGCCCTCTTCAGATCTCGCAGTCGAACCTGCTGCGTAGCCCCAATGGACCTGCATTCTGAAACCATCAGATGGGCTAGGGTGCCTGCACTCTTCCTGCTGAGGGCATCGGCTACTACGTTGCCCTTACCTGGATGGTATAGGATGTCACAATCATAGTCCTTGAGGAGTTCCATCCACCTTCTCTGACGCATGTTGAGATCCTTCTGAGTGAAGATGTGCTTCAAGCTCTTATGATCGGTGTAGATCTGAAAGGTCTCTCCATACAAATAATGGCGCCAGATTTTCAAGGCATGTATGATTGCGGC